TTTCTGAGGCAAGATGTGTAAAATTCCTTCCAGTTATAGCCTTTCACTGCTCTTAGAAAAGCCATGATTTGCATTGTACATGGCAGGTAGTAATACTTGAGTAAACAATATTAATGCAATTCATCTGTGTTGAGTATTCTGTAGCAAAACACTAGCTTGCTAGCCCTTGTAAGCCCAAGTCTCTCTCTTAATTGGAGAAGACTTGCAATTCTGCATTCCTTGAAGATTTTAGTATCAGAGGGGTAGTTATTACATACCATATACTTCTTTGGGTTTCAAATTACCTGTTTTATAATGTATTGAACCTGTTGACATTTGACCAAAAGTGAATTATCTATACAATACATGAAAAACTTAGGGTTTGCACTTGATACAAAACAATTACATCACTGATTTACATTAATATACCCATTGGAACTGTTTCAAAATTGTCAATGTTTCAAAAAAACAACAACAAAAACACCACACAATGCTTTTAACTTCTGTCCATGTACATATGTGTAAATGTAGTCATTGAAGAGCTGTCAAGAACTTTTCATCAATATTATTTAGATAGTGTCTGTTTCGATTTCAGGACAGACAAAATTCAAATGACATGCATAGTATTTAATATAGTCAATGCTTGCATATTCAAGCAATCTAGCCATTGCAGTTAGAGAATTAAAGTACACAGTGACACTTATTTTGCAGATGAACTCTTATGATCAAGCACTGCTATAAATATTATGCCAAATTGTAGAAACAAAAAACAGTTCATAAGTTTAATAAACTTTTATTTTTACACAATTTATAGTGCACTGCTTAGCATATATATCACACTGATTTTCCAGTGGAAGAAAAACTTCAGGAAAACGCTTGGATTTATTATTAGTTATTTGGACAATGTAACTTTACACTGTCAATGTCTACTGATACAAGAATAAGAATATTTCCTTTTACAAATGTAAAGACTTTGAAAATTAACATGAACAAATTATCATAGAGTTATAAATCATATTCTAATTGAAAAATGTTCAGCTTGATATCAAAGCTTTGAATGCAAATTTGTGAGCTTATCAATGATTACCTCACAATATTAGTAGTAGATGATATATAATATTTTTGCTAATCTTTACTTATTAGTCATTTAATGTCCATAATGTCATATGACTATACTGTGATTCCATGAAAAACCTTATCTCTGGTGTGTTATTAGCTTTGGTATATATAGAGTATCTAGTTTTAATACTTAAAACTGCAATGAAATGTGGATATTTTACTCTGTTTCTATCATTGTGACATTAACATGTTCATAGTGTCAAACACCATAAAATCATACTCTTTATACATTAAGATTTTTGTGCTGGATGTCATTCATCTTCTTCAGGAAAGTACATTTGACTATTCTCAGTGGCTTATATTAAACTAATATTTCACTGTAACTGTGTGTTCTCTGATATCATTCTCAAATTAAGGAACTGGAAGATGGTAGTTGCAATAAAGGTCTTCATGGACAAATCCTCCTTCATCTTTTCCCTTTTTATCTGCAGAATGAAAAATCAATAAATATGTTGTTACAAGTGTAAGACACTAGAAATGATATTTACATTACATTTAATAAGCTGGTCATGATTGACAGAAAAATTTCATATTTGAAGTAAATAAACATTAAAGATAAACAACAACACATAATATATAACAGTCAAAAATATTGATCTTCTTGAATGTGAAACATGACTATTTTTAATGTTTTATTTACTTATCAATTATCATGCAGTGAAATCCAAGTTATTAATATATTTTGATAATTGTTTATCTTTCCGATCTCAACTAAAAATTAATCAATTATTTTACATGTATTTACCTTTGATGTATAGATATTTCAGGATCATAGGCAGTGCAAACAGTTGATTAATGGTCCATATTGAACAACTGTATATTCTATACTTGTCATATACCTCCTTGTCTATACATCTGAAATGGTTTAATCAAATATTATATTTTTTAAATCAATCATAATTTGCTAGGTACCATATTAACATGTATATATAATTGAAAAAGGAACAAGAATAAAATGGAAGGGAAAAAATATCCGAATTACTGTGCAATGTCCGAATTTTGTATAACTTTAATATACACTAGAATTAAAGTGTTTCTTCATTGTTTATTTCAACAAGTTAAAATGGTTTGAATTAATTTCTCACATCAGTAGTTTTAAAACAATACTAAAAGCTAAACAACTAGAATTCACTACCTTGACAAAACATCCGAAATAATTGTCACTATCCGAAAATAAACTAGTTTTATTAAACTCTATAAATCCCTCGTTTTTCCGTCAGATAATTGACCTACCTGCATTTTTTGACCCGTGCTATCCATTCCTTCAAATCTGAAGTGGACCGAAACAAATTTAACTTCTATATCCCTCGAGTTCTTCGGGTTACCTATATGCGTAACGGTAAATAAGTCTGCCGATGTACCCGGAAGTGGTAAATCGAAAGTGAAAATAAACGAGACTTATGGGCCCTATTTCCTGAAGAAATGTAAACACAATTGACCTAGAGCAATAGCACCTTAATTCGACATACCCATTAATTCGACACCTTATTTAAAAAACATCATGAAATCTCAAAATTAAGCGTTATAACTGATATTTTAATCGACATTTACGTTCATCATTCATTTGATGACGTCATGAAAAAAAATCAGACCACATAGGCACCGATTTCGCTGACATTGGTTAGTACTTAAGTGTGGCTCGAAAATTTGAACATTAAAAAGTCGCTTCTAAGGGAAACGTGTAAGAGGTCGACCTACGTAACAGTAAAAATACTACTAAATTTTTGTCAAATTATGCTATTGTTAACCTTTTTAAACACAGTTATTGAAGTTGTTCTTCAAACTGGACCTTCAACAGCCTGTATATAGTTAAATTACCCGCCAAGGCGTGAGTGTCGAACTTAGGAACCAAATTTAAAAGGAAGTTCGTTATTTCGACACATGTGACTGAATCAAACTAATTTAGAACTAACTTAAATCAAACTGACCAAATTTTATTATGATATTCCATATACGTATATTGTATTAGGCTGTGGACGAATAAACTTGTATTAATTATTAGAGTATATAAATGTTACTCCGTTAACGATGTTTAGTATTGAGGTAGATTAGATGCCGCTAATAAATTATCATAAAGAAAAATACATTTCATGAGTAACATGTAATGGTAATGTTTCGTGATGTTGTTTATTCTGAAAAGCAGGTATACAATGTATTTGTTTTCAATGAACTTCAGAAATAGGTATATCAGTGTTTTACAGTTAAAATTTACATGTTGATGCCTACTTGTGTATGCATGTCAAGTGAAGCTAATGAAAAGAAATATTGCAGATGTTGAATCCAAGTTGATCAACACTCTTTCTATGGTTCAAAGTAATGTAATATCAAAGAAGATAAAAACAGCAATGATATTTGACATCCTGACTGATAAGCTTAAGCTTGGTGGAAACGCACCAACAGTTACTAGTTTGAATCCAAACAGTGCGTGCTGACTGCAACAGTACATGTTACCCGCTTATTTGTTATAAAGTAAAGATAAACAAGTTTTAGATCATGGAAGAAAAACACTTTTAGGAGACTATTTACTTGGAAAAAAACATTTGCCGGTATCGGCTATTTTAAAACCGGTAGGCTGGCTTCACGCTACATCGGCTCCCTTAGTAAAGTGGCAAACTTGTTTTGACTTTGGGCTATTAGAGATAATTAGAATCAGAATTAATTATAATCAATTAAACAAGTATGATCTCTACTGATAATGTATTCAGAGAAGATTTAAACCAAAAACTAATCTAAAAAAGAAATGTTTCCGCTATACAGCCTGTCCGCTTTACATAGTGTGCACTGCTGACGCAATGTAATTGATAATCCCCGCTTCTAAGATTAATAATTAAACTTTTTCTCTATAATCAAATTATGTGTGTAAGACATACAAAAAATGTATCTATACACAAGTCATGCACATTTTTACTGATTCAAGAGACGAACTGATCGTTTTTTTTAATGCAATATTCTTTCATAATCATGTTTGGGTCGTAAAGTGTTATTAATAGTGTTGGAATTCATTTTACTTTTATATTATTTGAACTTTTAGTGTATTTCTGAAACCTTAATTAGGGTGTCGAATTTAGGATCACCATGTCGAAATACCGGACCCTCAACGGACAAAGCTTATACTATTATTACATGGAAAACCGTAGATGCTACCTAAGAAGTAGTGTTTGAAAAGGGCGCGAAAATGTCGCATACTGTAAAGTGCGATGTCGAAATTAGGTTATACATATATAAACAATATAATAAAGTGTACAAGTTAGCCATAACTGTGCTCTTTTAGCATTCTAAATAGACATTTTCCATTCAATGATTTATTCTGATTAAAAGCCATAACAAAAGCTATATTTTACCTTGTCCATACATATTGTACCAGAAAGTTAAACATGATCCTGTAGTGGGTGTTAACTGATCACTCTTCAACCATGCCTTATCTCCAACTTTCCTCGGTGCACTTGTCTCAATAAATACATAGTAACCTGAAAATAATATCAAATCATTCTAAAAAATCTCGTTTATATCATAAAATGCAGCATAATTGTCTACTTTATGTCTCACATAAAGATTAAATTAGTATTTGTAAGACCATAAGTAATATAAATATAGGGGGCGTCCGTGGCCGAGTGGTTAAGGTCGTTGACTTCAAACCACTTGCCCCTCACCGCTGTGGTTAAAACTTTATTGCTATTCATTAAAGTTCATTGTAGGGATCTATCAATTTTTATTAAATATACTAAATACAAAAATGGTTGGAAAGAATACAATGATTCTCGTCAATTGTAACTAGCTTTATCTTACCTTATTTGCTCACCATTTTTCTTGTAATTATTTGATTACCCAACAAAATTTGTCAAAGAAAATGCCTGTAAGGTAATACAAAAGACTGTAAATACATGAATATATTAAACTAGTACCTGCAGCAGAATTGGTAGTATGATCATTGTGAGGCCCTGTTGTTGATGAAGGGGTACCTCCATTATCTCTTGTCCAGTCAAACTGATCACCTACAACATTTGTAAAACCACAGAGATCTTTCTCAAAGTTACATGATGCTGGGGCTGCACATGGCCCAGAAGTGACTTTGAAATCATCAATGGCAATGTCACTAGAGAATGTAGTCCCTCTGATTCCTTCAAATACAAGCTGTAACAAACAAATCACACACTATCATAAACCTATAATATGATAACACAATACTTACAAAATGTCTTTAGACTTGTTAACTATTATTTTTATGTATCAAAACCTCTATCTAGATGTGAAATAGTGTGACGTAGGCCACATTTTAGATAAGTATTAACATGGAAAAAGGAAAATAAGAGAAGACCTCACAGGATTGAATTACATGAATATTGATTAGAGAAAATTAAGCTTGTGAATCTTTATAAAATTTCCAGTACAAAGTTTGATAGAACTGCATTTACAACACAATCTATTTTCATGAATTTAAAAAAAAAAGGTGTATATAAATTACCTGATATGAAATCGAACTTTGAACTGTTGCTGTTCCACGAATCCACTTGTTTCCTTGGTTACCAGAGATAGTTAAGACGTCTCCAGTTATCTGACCATTAGACATAGTATGAACGATGAGTTTCCCCATACCTGTACCATACATGTGATAGTAAAACTGGACACACTCTCCATTGGTGGCTGGATAGCTGGGTGTCATTATACGTGCCCTGTCTCCCGTCTTCCTTGGAGCTGATGCCTCAATATACAAATAATGTCCTGAAACAAAAAAACAACATAGAAAATTTACTTGTGGCTAGTTAATATTAAGCAATGAGTGAGTTAAGTTTTGTAATCAAAGAAGGTACCTTATATAAAAAATTTTTTTTTAAATTATAACATTCATGAATATCAATATTTAGTATCAAATCTATTACAAAGAATGTGCAAACCTAGTACAATGTATTCTTTTCTTTAAATGTAACAAAAAATAGACACATTCACGATCACTTCACAGTTCTAATGAACTTCATCTAATCCAAAAAACTTCCATATCACATATTCTTTAAGAAAAAAAAGCATTATGCATCACTTTTGATGGGAAAAAAATGAAAATTAGATTATATTTCTAAGTTATCAATGTACTTTGATATAAAATCTTGGTATAAATGAAATTTACCTTGTCCAGTTTGGAAGGTGTGGTCAGTGGTTGGACCTGTTCCTGAACTTGTTGTCTTGTTGCCATTTAGTGTCCAATCAAAGTTATCTGTTGTGTCCTGTGTCCAACCACAAAGTCCAGACTCAAATGTGCAGGTCTCTGAAATTCATAGATAATAATTGTAAGAATTCTCAATTAATTTTAGATAAATTAAAAACAAAACCCTGAATCATTGATAGTATCTATACCTTTCATAACAAATAACATTTACAAAATGTACTTAAAAATTATGATAAGTTTTAAAAATATCTAGACTATAACTTAATGCAAAAGTGATTAATCATGTTGAAATACTACAAAATTTAATGTTTACTTAGAAATCATGTAAGTCTATATGTAAACAAATATCAAATATCTACAATTTGTAATACCAGCTGCATTAAACACAAAAAGGCAATTTCTTATGACAGTTGCTGACTAAAAATAATATGGAAATAAATCTGTTCAGGATGTCTCAGAGCAAGGTATTTAAACTATCAAATGGGATGAAAACTGTGTTTTACAGTTGTGGGGATTTTTTTTAACATGGTATTTAACACTTTTATGATTGTTATTTGTTTTAATGTAAACTTACTTGTCTTTGTGATAACAATTGACTGTGAACAGGGTACTGACTCTAGATATACATCATCTACAGCTATATCACCACGGTAACCACCTGTTGTTGTTCCTTCTATCATCATCTTAAAATCAGTTTTACTGACGTAGTTAAGACTTGCTTGTTGCCATTTGTTTCCTTGAGTACCAGATTTCGTCCAGAGTAATGTCTGCTGTCCCCCTGATATACTGTAGATGTTTAATTTCCCTATAGATCCACCATACATATGATACCAGAAGGAAAAGCATCTGCCCTGAATTTAAAGTAAGAAAAAAGTTTCAATAAATAAACATGAAAACTTTTTATTCTGCTTTTAACAGGATCAACATCTTTATGTAAAAGATCCATACATTTTATCCCCACACTAACCAATGACATATACTCTTATGTTTATGTTCATTTTACATTTTTTTAAAATCACTTCATGACAAAAGTAAAACAATATTTTGGTAAGCCCCAAAATGTTTCCGTTTTCTATTCATTTATATTTGCCTAAAAATCATTTAACATTATTCATCCATTTGATTTTATATGTAAAATAACCTTCAGGATATATTGAAGAGGTAAACAAGCATAAAACAAGAGCTGTCGGTAGGACAGCAACGCTGGACTATTCTAGTGCTTGAAAGTAAAAAATAATGCTTGATACAGTTACCTACTCCTGTAAAATATTTGAACTATTACAAAAACTTTAACGTAAATTCTAAGTCGAAAAAAGGGCATAATTCTGTCAAAATGCTTGATAGAGTTACCTCCTCCTGTCTACAGGTTGGTGTCATGATGGTGAACAAGTGTGCAAAGTTTCAAAGCCATATGTCAATGGACTTTGAAAATATTTGAACTATTACAAAAACTTTAACATAAGTGGTTACGCCGACGCGGACGCTCGGGTGACTACAATAGCTCTACTTATTCTTATCGAATAGTCAAGCTAAAAATATATATACAATGTAAATATGCATTTTTTACCTGTGGAGAAGTGCTAGGTATGATCTGAGTCATCAAATCAGCTTTGTCACCAGGTGTGTGTCGCCCAGACGCTTCTATATAAATGTATGATCCTGTCCCATACCCTGATTGACCAGCACTAGTATGGTCTCCTAGAGGACCGGTACCTTGGCTGGAGGTAGAGCCATTGATGCGTGACCAGTTAAACTGATCAGTGGTGCTTTGAATCCATTGACAGTAATCTGAGTCAAAGTTACATGTGACTGTTCCAAGTGATGCTACAAGAAAAATAAAATTAAAACTAGAACTATCACTAAATGTGATTAATACCCCCACAAGTCTGCTTCGGAAATGAGGATGTTACTAGTAACAGAATACCTTGTAATAGAATTGAAACATAGAGTTATGGTTGTGGGCAATTAAAGATAATTGTGGTTCATGTATGTTGCATTTCCTTTCAATGGTTGGCCATTGATAAAGTTTAATTGAATTACTCTGTAATAAGTCCAGAAAGACAAAGAAAAAGAACAAAGGGCAATAACTCTATAAATACTGAAGATAGAGTTATAGTTCTTGTGCACTGCACTTCCTCTTATTGTGCTCGACCATTGTATGAAGTTGTTTTGAATTCCAACCAGTACATTTTAAGTTATGCTCCGGACAAGGAAAAGTATCAAAGGGCAGTAACTCTGTATTTTGTCAAAATGGAGTTATGGCTCTTGTGCACTGCACTTCCTTTTAATGTCCTTGACAACTGTATGAAGTTGTACTGAATTCCAAACAGTAGTTTTCAAGTTATGCTCTGGACAAGGAAAAGTAACAAAGGGCAATAACTCTGTAATTAGTCAAGATGGAGTTATGGTTCTTGTGCACTGCACTTCCCCTTATTGTGCTTGACCATTGTATGAAGTTGTTTTGAATTCCAACCAGTAGTTTTCAAGTCATGCTCTGGACAAGGAAAAGTAACAAAGGGCAGTAACTCTGTAATTAGTCAAGATGGAGTTATGGTTCTTATGCACTGTACTTCCTCTCAATGTGCTTGACCATTGTATGAAGTTATAATGAATTCCAACAATAAGTCTTCAAGTTATGGTCCGGACAAAAGAAAGCAATGGAAAAGTAACAAAGGGCAATAACTCTGTAATTAGTCAAGATGGAGTTATGGTTCTTGTGCACTGCACTTCCCCTTATTGTTCTTGGCCATTGTATGAAGTTGTTTTGGATTCCAACCAGTAGTTTTAAAGTCATGCTCTGGACAAGGAAAAGAAACAAAGGGCAGTAACTCTGTAATAAGTCAAAATGGAGTTATGGTTCTTGTGCACTGCACTTCCTCTCAATGTGCTGGACCATTGTATGAAGTTATAATGAATTGCAACAATTAGTCTTCAAGTTATGGTCCGGACAAAAGAAAGCAATGGTAAAGTAATAAAGGGCAATAACTCTGTAATTACTTTAGATAGAGTTATGGTTCTTATGCACTGCACTTCCTCTCAATGTGCTTGACCATTGTATGTAGTTATATTGAATTCCAACCATTAGTCTTCAAGTTATGGTCCAGACAAAAAAAAGAAGGCGATGGAAAAGCAACAAAGGGCAATAACTCTGTAATTACTTTAGATAGAGTTATGGTTCTTGTGCACTGCACTTCCCCTTATTGTGTTTGACAATTGTATGAAATTGTTTTGAATTCCAACCAGTAGTTTTCAAGTTATGCCACGGACAAGGAAAAGTAACAAAGGGCAATAACTCTGTAATTAGTCAAGATAGATTTATGCTTCTTACGCACTGCACTTCCTCTCAATGTGCTTGACCATTGTATGTAGTTATATTGAATTCCAACCATTAGTCTTCAAGTTATGCTCCGAACAAGGAAAATGCAACGGACAAAATAAAAAAGCAATGAAAAAGCAACAAAGGGCAATAACTCTGTAATTACTTTAGATAGAGTTATGGTTCTTGTGCACTGCACTTCCCCTTATTGTGTTTGACAATTGTATGAAGTTGTTTTGTATTCCAACCAGTAGTTTTCAAGTTATGCCCCGGACAAGGAAAAGTAACAAAGGGCAATAACTCTGTAATTAGTCAAGATAGAGTTATGGTTCTTGTGCACTGCACTTCCTCTCAATGTGCTTGACCATTGTATGTAGTTATATTGAATTCCAACCATTAGTTTTCAAGTTATGCTCCGGACAAGGAAAATGCAACGGACGTCTGGACCGACCGACCGACCGACCAACCGACCGACCGACCACCGGGTGACTCCTATATACCCCCCCAAACTTCGTTTTTGGGGGTATAATTAACACCATTTAACTTCAGACACAAATGTATTTTTCTTCAAGACTTGTCTAAAATGTATATATTTTCCCTGCAAAATTTATCTATAACACAGCCATTAGACTAGACACAAAAATTGGCAATTGCCTTTAACTTAAGGAAAAAAAAATCTAAATTTGGTTCAGCGATCAATCTTTATTATTAATTTATTAACAAAATAACTATAGAAAAAAGGTCATGTGCAGTTATTGAAGGAAAGGGTGATAATTGTAAGCTTACATTTACTTGGTTGAGAGTTATCTGGAAATTGTGTACATCCACCATCAACTAATGCTGTATCATCAATAGCAATGTCTCCTCTATAACCCTTCCCTCTAATTCCTTCAAATATTATCTGAAACAGACACAGATTTGCCTTGTTAACCTATTGCAGCCTTTATGTATTCAATGTTTATGAAACTCTCATTACAGACTGATTAAATTATAAAGAAAGTTTTAAAAAAAAATACACCAGAATTTATAGAATAAATAACATCTCTGTTTTGTCTTTTTACATAAGAACACTGTTTGTTTGTAACTCATACTCTATAAACAAGTACTTTTCTATTTAGAAATAATGTAATATAACATTTTCCATAAGAAATAACCAAGCCTTAACCAATATTCTGCTGGAACAGAAAGTGAACTGTCCTTGCCACCAGTATAGAGCTAGGCCTGTCTGCACATTTGTGTTCTATACTGTAGGTAGTTTATGTTTTGTATTTTGATGTGGAAATTTCTTTAACTTTAAATGGACCACTCAAAATTCACAAAAGTCAATGATTAAGATAGCTAAGAGTGTTATTTCTAATGCATCAACATTTCGAAAGTAAATACCTCATATGGGTTTGATGTATACTGGGAAGTGAGATTGAATGATCCCTGCTCCCAATTGTTTGGATTCTCTCCAGACATTGTCCATTTCAATGCTTCCGAGGAGAAAGCTGATGATGAGGCGTTGGTCAGAACGTAAACATTGAGAGATCCAATGTCAGCACCATACATGTAGAAGTAAAAGTTGAAACATTTTGGTCCTGACGGTGGATAAACCTTACTGATCAGCCTTGCCTTGTCACCTTTAACCCTAGGGGCACTTGTTTCAATAAACATGTAGTATCCAGAGTTGGTTCCTTGTGTGTGATCTGTACTTGGTCCAGTAAATGAACTGCCTGTTTTCCCACGAGATCTTAAAGCTACATTAAATAAATTTCATAAAAACAGAAATGGCGACAATTTATAAATAAATTTGGTTTCATATCGACTCCAGATTTTATTTTGGTGTCAAGACAACCAAAATAAGTTTTATAAGCATAAACAAGAGGGCCATGATGGCCCTAAGGTCGCTCACCTGTATATAGCCCCCCCCCCAAACGTTGCAGGGCCAATTTAACCAAAGGGCTTTTATTTGCACAAACTTGGTAGACACCCATAAGAAGATGTTTCATGCTAAACATCTAAGCTCTAGCTCATTGGGCTATTTAAAAGAAGATTTTTTTTAAGTTTTTACTATACACATATAGTTAAAAACAATGACACCCCTGGGGCCGGGCCAGTTATGACCCCAGGGTTTTTATTTGAACAAACTTTGTAGACACTTACTAGAATATGTTTCATGCCTAATATCTAAACTCTAGCTATTTGGGTTTTTTCAAAGAAGATTTTAAGTTTTTGCTATACACATATAAGGAAAATCAATGACCCCGGGGCGGGGCCAATTTTGACCCAAGGTCTTTTATTTGAACAAACTTTGTAGACACTCACTAAAAGATGTTTCATGCTTAATATCTTAACTCTAGCTATTTGGGTTTTTCCAAAAAAGATTTTTTAAGTTTTTGCTATACACATATAAGGAAAATCAATGACCCCCGGGGCGGGGCCAATTTTGACCCCAGGGCTTTTATTTGAACAAACTTGGTAGACACCTATTAGAACATGTTTGATGCTAAATATCTTAACCATAGCTCTTTGAGTTCTTTAAAAGAAGATTTTTTAAGTTTTTACTATATGCATATATAGGGAAAATCAATGACCCCCGGGGCGGGGTCAATTTTGACCCCAGGGCTTTTATTTGAACAAACTTGGTAGACACTTATTAGAACATGTTTCATGCTAAATATCTTAGCTCTAACTCTTTTGGTTCTTTAAAAGAAGATTTTTTAAGTTTTTACTATATGCATATAGGGAAAATCAATTACCCCCTGGGGCGGGGCCAATTTTGACCCCAGGGTTTTTCTTTGAACAAACTTGGTAGACACCTATTAGAACATGTTTGATGCTCAATATCTTAGCCATAGCTCTTTGAGTTCTTTAAAAGAAGATTTTTTAAGATTTTACTATATGCATATAGGGAAAATCAATGACCCCCGGGGCGGGGCCAATTTTGACCCCAGGGCTTTTATTTGAACAAACTTGGTAGACACTCACTAGAAGATGTTTCATGCCAAATATCTAAGCTCTAGCTCTTATGGTTTTTTAAAAGAAGATATTTAAAGTTTTTTCTTTCGGTTGCCATGGCAACCAGAGTTCTGCATGGAATTAAATTCTTTGAACAATTTTTAAAGGTGACCACCAAAGGAACATTCCTGTGAAGTTTGGATGAAATTGGCCTTGTGGTTTATGAGGAGATGTCATTTAAAGTAAAAGTTTACGGACGACGGACGACGGACGGACGCCGGACGAAAAGCGATCACAAAAGCTCACCCTGTCACTTTGTGACAGGTGAGCTAAAAATGGGCAAACTCATTGTGGCGAAATCGGAAGTACAATAATAATCATTTCTGTTTGCATGAGAAACTCCGCCCTCGGTTCATCCGTACATCAATATTAAAACAACAAACATGACTATGTGCAGCAGTTCTAATCTAACGGTATATTTCCGCATTGTAACGGATGTTTCATACAAATTTAATCCTTTTTATGAGATGATTACTTTTTTCTGAACCACAGGCCTAGTTCACCGTGAAGCTAAAACGTTAAAAGTGTGTTTGCACAAGAAAATCTCATATTTACTGTGTTCCGGACAGCGACTATAACAATGTAACGAAGCGCATACACGAGCTGATTATTGTCTTCATTTGCATGCTAAAATTCGTATACGAACTTTAGTGTTACCGTGGGGTTTTCCGTTTAAAATCCTTATTTATGAACAATATTTGATGAGATTTACAACATAACTGTTAAAAAGTTTTATGAAACTGTATAATGCTTGTTTTTTAGGCTGACGGCAAAATATTTTTACATATTTATTTAATGTAACTTTAACCAATCAAAATCATCCCCTTGGTTTATGTTCTTCCAGAAACATGCATCTTTCTCAAAGTCACATTTGTCTCCTGTACAATTATAAATGTATACATTTGTTTTTAAAAAAGATAATTAGCCTATAGTCATTGGTTAAAAAAATCTAGATTAAACATATGATCCTATGACATTATAGAAAGATTCAAAATGATTTTTATATCAGGCTAAAAAATAATAATTTTTTTTTTCTTCAAAATTTGTCTGTTCAAAAGAATATCAGTGACTTAAAATAAGATTGAAAATAAAATCTGTCTCTCAACATAATGAGCATCAATTAAGTAAGAACCAAATAAATAACAGATAGTTATATCTTACAAATATTTATAACAATTTTTACAAACCTTGTCCACTACAAGCCCCATTTGAGATAGAGACATCATCTATTGCTATATCACCATGGTAACCTTTTCCTCTAATTCCTTCAAACACAATCTGGAAATAAACAAATGCTGCTGCATTATGACTTTATATTGCAATTTTCACAGTCATATTATTACATTGCTTAACTTCAAATGCTTTATTACATTAAAGTAAGCAAGTAAAATGTCAAATGCTTTATTACATTAAAGTAAGCAAGTAAAATGTAAAATGTCCCACACTTAGGACATGCCATTTTCTATCTACTCTGAACATGCTTGATTCTATAATGTACAGCCCAATTTTAGATTTATTTAATTTAATTTGCTTTATCTTTATACCTCTACAAATAAGGATAAAACATCAAAATATATAGCAGACCAAGCTCATTATACAAAGCATACAATAATTAATTGTGCATACCTTGTATTGACCACTAGGGTTAGCAGTGACAGCTGCTTGTCTACATGCATTACCCTGGTTTAGTGAACGTGTCCATATTAGGTTTCTCTTAGAGGGCTGTTGACTGTTAACAAGATATACATTCAGTGTGTTGACATCAACTCCAAACATATGTGTCCAAAACTTGACACACACAGGGGCTGAACTCTAAAAATATAACAGAAATATTATACTGATTAAAATCCAGTTATTAATGCTTATCTCTGGGAAAAGATATAAAATGACAAGCAACTTTTAACTAGATAAGCGGTCTTTGGCAGATGCACCCAATTGCCAATCAATCTATAAGCATAGTACTTTTACCATATATTTGACAAAAGATAATACAAAGCTTATCTTCCATTGCTTGTCCTAGCTTTTTTTAAGTACATGTAATACAAGAGCGATCAGTAATCACATGTGTCGCCTCATGATGGCCAATTTCATGTTGGGACAAATTTTGTGACAGACGGACAGACAGACGGACAGTGCACAACTAGACTAACCACTTTGTACTGATCATTCCTGTACAGTTTGGATAAAATTGCACCAGTAGTTTATGAGGAGTAGTCCGGACAAGCTTTTGCGTATCTGGCAACACACAGAAAAAAACACCTTTTTATCAAAGGGCCATAACTCGGCCAAAAATCATTCAACCGGAAAACCCGTGCAATATGTGCAAGGACTTGAGCTACAGATCAATCCTGTAAAGTTTCATTGAAACTGCATAAGTGGTATAAGAGAAGTAGTCTGGACAAACTTTAAAAATAAAGTTTATTAAAGGGCCATAACTCAAACAAAAATCATTGAACCGGAAAATGCTGACAATATGCACAACTAGACATGGTACTGATCATTCCTGAAAAGTTTGGATGAAATTGCACCAGTAGTTGATGAGGAGTAGTCCGGACAAGCTTTTGTGTATCTGGCAACACACAGAAAAAGAAACCTTTTTATCAAAGGGCCATAACTCGGCCAAAACTCATTCAACCGGAAAACCCGTGCAATATGCGCAAGGACTTGAGCTACAGATCAATCCTGTAAAGTTTCATTGAAATTGCATTAAAGGTATAAGAGAAGTAGTCCGGACAAACTTTAAAATTAAAAATTATTAAAGGGCCATAACTCTGACAAAAATCATTGAACCGGAAAATCCTGACAATATGCACAACTAGACTTGGTACTGATCATTCCTGTAAAGTTTGGATGAAATTGCACCAGTAGTTTATGAGGAGTAGTCCGGACAAGTTTTGTGACGGACGGACGGACAGACGGACAGACAGACAGACAGACGGACAGACAGACGACGGAGAAGTGATCCCTATATGTCGCCACTACTCCGTAGAGGCGACACAAAAAGGCATACTTAAACACTGTCAATATTGATATGCCTGATGGCATGAAATTAGAAATTTTAATAAGGAGCTTAAAATGCAGTACAAATCTGCAGTTTCTTGTAATCACTCTTCCATCATCATTAACAAAACCTTATTTTAAAATTCATAATAAGACTTCTTTAGAAGAGTATGCAAATCTTATCAGATATGTCAATTTCACTATTCAAGCGATGACTAGTAATATATAATATATTCTATCCTTTAAACAACTTAGAATTTTATTTCACAAGGAAATCTTATTTATAAACTTTTTATCCTTGTTATGTGTATATATTATTAACCTGTGGTGTGTAGTTTGGTGTAGGAATTCTAGCAGTGTCATTTGGTTGCCTTGGTGCTGATGTTTCAATGTAGATATAATGTCCAGTTCGGGTTCCGGTAGTGTGATCAGAAGGTGGTCCTGTACTGGCTGAGCCAGTACCACCAGATTTCCAAGTCCAGTCAAAGTTGGGTGTGTCAGATTGGTCCTGTACGTAGTTGCAAATTGAGCTCTGCTCAAAGTCACAAGTCATAGCTGTGTTAGAAATTGAACATGTTGGTTAATGATAAATAAAAAAAATAATCACTTCAATAAAATGTTTTAACAGATATATGAAGTCATATACAAATCATATTAAAGTATCTTACCTGCTTGTTTGCAAGCTCCTAAAGACATTCTGATATCATCTAGAGCAATGTCACCACGGTAACTGATTCCTCGTAGAGCTTGGAATATAACCTGAAAAGCAGAGTCTATCATCTTTACAAACATAACATTTTTTTCCATTTTTAAAGGAATAACAATGTATTGAAAGAAATGAAAAAGCCTAAAAGCAATGTTCAATTTTCTTGGTTTTACTTCATTTTTCATAGTATATTTAGGCATGTCAGTTAATACATCAATTCACATTTGGTCAATTACTGATCAGCAATGAATAAAATAACTCTTGAAAGAACTTAACATCTATAAAACGACTTATTGTAGATGTTTCTTTTATTGTATCAAAAACTGAATACAATGTTAACCATACCTGAAAAAAAGTTGTTAATTAAAGAAAGGAACTGACATGCTTGCAAACTGTTCAACTGAAAGATAGTGTACCTTGTAGCTAGGTGAAGATAGTGCTATTGTAACTTCCCCAAGTATCCACTTGTTCCCTTGGTTACCAGTTTGTTTCCAAATATTGGTTCCAAGACCTTGTACAGTACTTGACTTCAGGTAGACTAGAAGTGTATTGACATGGGTACCGTACATATGGTACCAGAAGCTCAGACAGCGGGTTTGAGTCTCGCGTATGACAGGGCTCTGAAGTATGGCCGTGTCATTTGGCTTGCGTGGTGCAGATGTTTCAATAAAGATATACCAACCATTGGCTGAAAATATTGATAGAATATTGACATGGAGAATAAAACTTTTAGAAAAATTACAGCAAATACAAAAAAAAAAAAACAAGTCTGTTTCAATGTGAAAATCTCAAATATGTGTGACCATCAGAAGCATTAAAAACAACAAAAGATATGAAAATTGTGAACTCTGTCTGATTGAGTCCATTTGCATAGAGAAAAAATTTGGTTTCAAATATGAAATCTTTAAAAAATGGATTGGAATAGAGTTTATTTAACAATATGCTAACGTTTTCCAGTTGTGTGGTCATTTGTTGGCCCAGTAGATTTGGAACCTGTTGGTCCTTGTGTTCTTGTCCAGTCAAAGTTATCATCTGGAGATTGGGCCCACATACAAAATCCTTGCTCAAAGTTACAGTCATATTTTGTTAAAGCTGAAAATAACACAGATAATCTTTTGAAGCTCTAGAAAGAGTAAAAAAAAAAAAAACATTTTCTTTTTCACTGTAATATAAATAATGAATGAAGATTTTGTATTGTTTCCAAACCAACAGGCTGAAACTTGGAAATTCTTTTCCAGTAGTGTACAAACCTTGTCAAAAATGTGTCATTTCATGCATGATATATATATATATAATGAACAATTAGGGAAACTGCTAAAACAGTTTTATAAACAAATAAATGAAGATCTTATATAATAAGTGTAACACATCTTTAAGTTTATCAATACTCATCCAGTATATCATTAAAGCAGTATTAGAGTATAGTACAATACTACATACTTGGTGTTGAGCCAACAGTAACTGTGGTAACAGAACCTGGTGTTGTTGACACTGTTGTTTGTCCATTTGGATTAGCTGCTACTGGACTTACTGAAATAATGACATGTCCAGTATAATAGTAACACAGAATAGAATACCATACTATATGGGTACACATTTTATAAGTTTATATTAAACATACAATTACCATAAAGTTCATTTTAGCACATTTTTAAAGTTTAACAGAGTAACTCCTTTTGTTAAAAAAAAAAAAAACAAATACAACAACAAAAGAAAAACAACAAAAACAGTGACAAAAACAAAACACTACAGTACTACATGTACATATAATTTTTTTTTTAAATTGGACTGAACTAGTGAAATCATTTTTAATAAACAGAAGAGACAAACCCTTTTGTTTGTTATTTACTATAAAAGAATTAGAAATATCATTAGATTAAAGTTGTTATATATTCATGCATATATATTGTTGTAAAAATTAATCTAAGAATGAAAAGAAATAATTCACAGTGTTTACTGTATAAGAACAGGATTCATTATACATGTATGTCTACCATGTTAACTGTGAGAATAAGAAATATATTGTATATTATTCTTTTCTTACTGAATAATAAATATCCATATTCCTTGTTAATTAATATAAAAATAAAAGAAGAATAAGGATTTCATTCCTTGTTTATTAAAAAAAGTATAAATGCAGACATACTTGAACAGGAAGATGCTGTAAATGAGATATCATCTATTGCCATATCACTAAGATATGAGCTTCCTCTAACACCTTCTATTACAACCTACAATGTCAAAAGAAATAATCAACATAAAGCTTCTTCCATAAATAGTAATCCAACATTTTGAAAGGCAAATTAAAAATGGCCAGTCAACATCATTCTAAATGTTCCAGTAAGTTCTGTCATTTTTTTTTTATAAAACAACAAAAATCTTATTCCAGTAATGATTGCACATATTTTTCAACATAATGAGACCCCCTCCCACAAATGATGTACATATATTTAAATGCATTATTATCAAATATAAAAAAGCATTTCTATTTAAATACCCTGTACGGTTTGCTACTTTTAATTCCAATTTGACCATTTTGCCAGGCTTGTGCTTGACTGCCGCCGGTAAGCCTCCACAATGTCTGGTTTGTTGTGCCGGTAACCAGATATACTGACAGCTGACCAATACCAGAACCATACATGTGGTACCAGAAGTTCATACAACTACCAGTTGTTGGATTAAACTGCTGGGTTGTAACATGTGCTGTATCTCCCTTTACTTGAGGAGCACTTGCCTCGATAAATATATACTTCCCTAAAAGGATATACAATTAATAATAATAATCATACCTTTCAACAATTTTTTTTTTTCAGAAATGTGAAAAAAGTCTTTGTTGACAGCAAGTCTCTTAAGTAGGTAATGGAATTAATAATAAAGGACTATAAAATGATAGCTTTACAATTTATTTACATACATTTACACTTGTTGGTGGTATCTGTAGAACAAGTATGACTTCATGTTTACAAACATTACCGATTCAACCATATTGAATAAAGTTCTTGCAATTAATAACTCTATATTCCTTTTATATACTATGACTCATTGATAACGGAACAGAAATGCTAATTTACACATACCAATGCATGAAACATGACACACCTACCTGTGTTATCATTGTGGGTGTGATCATTCTGTGGTCCTGTATATTTGCTTGACGTCCCTCCATTTCCTATCAGCCAATCAAAATCATCTGTTCTTAGATTGGTCCATGTACACATAGTGCCATCGTCAAAGTTACAATTACCTATGAAAAAAACAACAACAATTACCTATGAAAAAAACAACAACAATTACCTATGAAAAAAACAACAACAAAGTTTTTTTAAAAAAAAAATCTTCATTTCAAAATCATATCATTGATAAAGAAAAAGATAAGAATTTACTTGGGAAATTTAGTAATAGATTTTTGTCATCAAGTATTTAGCCTATCTCTGAACCTAATGTTAGAGAACAAAAAGTCTAAATGTAATAAAAAAGAAAAAAAAAGAAAATGTATACCAAGTAATCAGATATATAATTATATTTGACCTGGTAATGTACATCCTCCACTTATTATAGAAATATCATCAATTGCCATATCACTCTGGTAACCAGTGCCTACAATGCCCTCAAACATTAATGTATAGTTAGAACTTTGTGGAATTGTAACTTGTGCCAGTTGCCAGGCAATTCCCTGGTTTCCAGTTTTGGTCCAGATTCGTTGTGGTCTTGTTCCCTGTCTAAGAATTACATTTAGTGTTCCCATACTTGCACCATTCATATTGTACCAGAAGTTAAGACAGCCTCCTCTAGATAAAGAGTAACTAGGGGAGAGAAGTTGTGCTGCGTCTCCTCTACGACGAGGTGAACTTGCTTCAATATACATGTAATGACCTGAAGAAAAAAAATATACACAATTTAGCTTATTTATGAACATTAAAATTGGCACAGCTTATTACGATAATAGATAAAACGGAAACCTTAAAAGTTTGAAATGGTAAAATTAAAAATGTTGCAGTTTGGTTTAATTGTTCAAATAAAATCAATAACAAATAGCATATAATTTTCCCTTTTATGATCTGTTTCTTGTAAAACTACAGTATTGTTTATGCTGCATGTATGACAGTATTCACCATGAAATACAAATATGAAGTAATATAAGGATATATAAGTTTTACCTCTATTGGTACCATATGTATGGTCATTGCGAGGTCCTGTTCCAGAAGACGAGGTGCCCCCGACAGATCTTGACCAATCAAATACATCAGTCTTAACCTGAGTGTAACCACATAGACCAAGCTCAAAGTCACACTTAGCTCCAGCTGAAATAAGAACAAATCACTTAAATACCTTTGCCTTATACCCAGTGAATGTATTGTATGTCCAGTGTAACAAAGTCAAAGCAATTAGTATAATTGTATACAGTGTAACTTCCGAAAACCGAACACCCATGGGACTTGTCAAAAAGTTCGGATTTCAGAGGTTTCCGGAATTCAGAGGTTTATGATAATGTGGACAAGACTAAGCCACTTAACATCACTAAATGTCAAGGAAGATGTTGCCATTACTGTAATATCATATATAATAGTCTTTCAATCAAGATTAAAATGTGAATGAAAGAATACATTTTTATCTTACCCGCAAATGCTTTTGAATTTCTATCAGTTTGTAGAAATGTTGACATTATTTGCATAAACTTACATATCGTCCGATGGTAGTTAATTAATTATTACATCAAATGCAGTAAAATCCCTAAAGACGTTTGATGCATACATTGTCCAATTAATTGTCATTTAATCCGCTAATAAACACTTCAAATTAACTGACCGCCGTAAATTACTTTGATTAACCGCATCACTTCTAACATACCATGTCATAGTTTGTGATTTTAAACGCGTGTCAAATTACACGATCACCGCTAATTAGTAAACAATCGATAGGGAGATTAAATCTTCCTGCAGGGTAAACATTCTCAATTTACAATGTATTTCACACCTTTGGATATTTCCGGTTTTTGGAGGTAAAATTGCATTGATTTGACTCTAATGTTACGAAAATATCGTCCGGAATTCAGAATTTAGAAGTTCCGGAATTCAGAAGTATTATATTAATAGAAAATAGAAGGAAAAAAATCGGGACCGAAAAAATTGTTCGGTTTTTAGAAGTTTCCGGATTTCAGAAGTTCCGGAATTCGGAAGTTACACTGTACTTACGTGCTTGTTGACATGGTTGAGTGGAGAATGAAATGTCATCAATGGCTATATCACCACGGTAACTTGTCCCTCTTACTCCCCCAAACACTATCTGTAATTATAAAATTTTCTTTGTATGATTCCATATTCTTTTCTTTATTAATGATAAGTTCAAAATAGAAAAGTAAGCAGATGGTGGCTGTGGTTTTTTCTCATTTAATTGGGAAGAGGGCTTAGCTTCTTGATTTTGGGAAGATTTATTGCTAAAATTGCTAGTTTGGGAAGCAAAGTGAATTGATTAATTTCAAACCTTTGGGAAAACTGTATTAAGAAAATTTCTTTTGGGAAGAAGCCTTTAACAGGCCTCTATTACATAAGGTGAAAAATCACTTGTTGGTCATATGCTCCATTTTCTTCCTATCATTTACATGTTGTTGTTTTTTATCTGTACAAATGTAATTGTAACTTTATATGTCATGATAATTTCTATATCTATTATTAAAGCTTCTTAATAAAAATACTAACTTAATACTAACTTAATTCCCACTTTACCTGGAAGGAAGCTCCTTGTGTGCTTGTTATATCAACAGTTTGGAAATGCCACTGATTGTTGATAGTTCCAGTATGGCTCCAGACTGGAGTTCCAATCTGTCTCCCAAATTTGGCATATACATTTAGTGTATTGACATCGGGTCCATACATGTGGTACCAGAATCTCAGGCATTGAGCGTTGGCACGTGGAGGAATAGATGGACTGTTTAGTCTAGCAGTATCATTAAGTCGTCTTGGACTTGATGTCTCAATGAAAGCATAATGACCTTGAGCTGAAGTAGAAAAAAGATGGTGAAAAATTTCAACACTTACATTGATTTCAATCATTTAAATTATATAAATAATTCAAATTTAATAATTAACTAAACATTCATTCTAAAGCTTACTAATGCTGATGAACACTCACTTAGTATGTAAAACTTTAATGCATAAAGATACACATTATAGTTTTGATTTTATCTGTCATTATAGTCAACTAACTTGCAATCTGGATGAAAGGCTCATTTCCCCTTTAGCCAGGAAAATGCCCAGGAGTTTTCTGGCAGATTGCTGCTATAAACAATTATCAATTAAAAGAAAATACTGGCACCGACCCCTTAATTTAAATTTCAGGACAAAATTATGATAAATATATATCATTATAATTATATAACAGTTACAAACCTGTTCCAAGTGTGTGATCTACTGAAGGTCCTGTCTGTCCTGATGAAGTAGGACCAGTGGCCCTTGTCCAGTCAAATTTATCATCTTTAGATTGTGCCCACTGACAGAAATCTCTCTCAAATGTACAGTCCAGTCTAGATGGGGGCACTGTAAGAAAATTTACCTTTCAATCTGACTCTTTTTAGTACAAACAGTATATACATGTATTAAATAATGAAAGGTCTAAAAAACCTTACAGACACCTCTGATCTTATGCTTTAAAAAATTATCTTGTTGCATAATAGTTTATAATACATACGTAAATAATGTGTATATAATGTAGAAATGGTGTGCATTCTATCCCTAAAATTGCATTTGTTTCTTACCATGCCAAGTCTTATATCTACTTCTAAATAAATGATAAACATAATTGATATATTACCTGTGGGTGGGGTAGTGGATCCAGTTGATGGATAGTAAGTTGTTTGCATTGCTGATGTGGCTGCTGTTGGTGGTTGAACTGGAAAAAATATCAATTTGACATTTTAAAATCACATGATTATTTATTTGTGTAATATTATATCACAACTTTTTATTTTTTAAAAGCTAAAAATCAAGAAATGGTCTTTATATCTTTTCTCAATACACATATGAAGTTTATAGATTTAGTTAAAAATTATCAAAATCTCAAACATCATTTTGGCAATTTTTTATTAATTAAATATTTTTAAATTCATTTCAGTTAATATCTATTTTTTACCTATCTTAGGTACATTTTTCATTTTGTAACAGAAAGATGCTAATGCATAAAAAAACAGCATGTTGTGGCTAGGACTCAAACTCATGACTACCCACTTAGAGTGACAACGCTCTAGACCACTGAGCCAACTGAATGATTCCCTGATGCGGTAATCAGAGGTTGTACTTAAAGTTTTGGAAGTAGACGTGCACTCAATTGTAACACCTAAAAATTGACAAAGAACGCCATAATTCATAAAGTAAATGTAGGTGAAGTATTATTACTTACTCAAGCATGGAGAGTTTGTAAATGATATATCATCAAGAGCGATGTCACCTTGGTAACCATTGCCTCTCACAGCTTCAAATATAATCTACAAAAAATCAAAAAACAATTTCACAACTCCATTACAAACAAGAGGGCCATGATGGCCCTAGATCGCTCACCTGAATTATCAAACTCATCCAAACAATTACCTAGACAAGCATTCTGACCAAGTCTCATGACAGGTGAGTCAAAAATGTGACCACTACAGTGTTGACAAGGATTATCCATATTTGAGCAGTGCGACCTAGTTTTTTACCCAGGTGACACATATTCAAACTTGACCTAGAAATCATCAAAACAAACTTTCAGACCAATTTCTAGGATACTTGGATCAAAATAGTAGCAACTAGAGTGTTAACAAGATTTTTCTATTTTTAGCTCCGGTGACCTAGTTTCACATGCGATTTCGAACTCATCCAAGCAATTACCTAGACAAACATCCTGACCAAGTTTGATGATAATTGAGTCGAAAATGTGACCACTAGAATGTTAACAAGGTTTTTCCATATTTGGGCGGTGTGACCTAGTTTTTCATCCAAGATGACCCATGTTCGATCTTGACTTAGAAATCATCAAAACAAACTTTCAGACCAATTAACAGAATATTTGGATCACAACAGTAGCCACTAGAGTGTTAACAAGATTTTTTCTATTTTTAGCTCCTGTGACCTAGTTTTTCATCCGAAATGTCCCATGTTCGATTTATTCCCAGCAATGACCTAGACAAGTTTCCTGACCAAGTTTGATGACAATTGAGTCAAAATTGTGACCACTAGAGTGTTAACAAGGTTTTTCTATTTTTAGCTCCTGTGACCTAGTTTTTCATCCGAGATGACCCATGTTCGAACTCATCCGAGCTATCACCTAGACAAGCATCTTGATCAAGTTTGATGATGATTGATGCAAAAATGTGACCGCTAAAGTGTTAACAAGGTTTTTCTATTTTTAGCTCTGGTGACCTACTTTTTCATCCGAGATGACCCATGTTCGAACTCATCCAAGCTATCAACTAGATAAGCATCCTGACCAAGTTTGATGATGATTGATGCAAAAATGTGACCACTAGAGTGTTCACAAGGTTTTTCTATTTATAGCTCCGGTGACCTAGTTTTTCATCCGAGATGACCCATATTCGAACTCATCCGAGCTATTATCTAAACAAGCATCCTGACAAAGTTTGATGATGATTGGGTCAAAAATGTGACCACTAGAGTGGTCACAAGGTTTTTCTATTTTTAGCTCCTGTGACCTAGTTTTTCATCAGAGATGACCCATGTTCGAACTCATCCAAGCAATTGACTAGACAAGCATTCTGACCAAGTTTGATGATGATTGGTTCAAAAATGTGACCACTAGAGTGTTCACAAGGTTTTTTCTATTTATAGCTCCTGTGACCTACTTTTTCATCCGAGATGACCCATGTTCGAACTCATCCAAGCTATCACCTAGACAAACATCCTGACCAAGTTTGATGATGATTGGGTCAAAAATGTGACCTCTAGAGTGTTCACAAGGTTTTTCTATTTTTAGCTCTTGTGACCTAGTTTTTCATCCGAGATGACCCATGTTCGAACTCATCCGAGCTTTCAACTAGATAAGCATCCTGACCAAGTTTGATGATGATTGAGGCAAAAATGCGACCGCTAGAGTGTTCACAAGCAATTGTGGACGGCCGGACGGACGACGGACGACGGACGACGGACATTCACCGATCCTAAAAGCTCACCCTGAGCAAGCTCAGGTGAGCTAAAAAGGGTTAACTCTTTATTCTTAGTTAAAGGTTTTCATTATATCAATATTGGGACTTTTAGTTATTAATAAGTTCTTATAAATCCAGAAACAAATTCCAAGTTTGATAACAATAATCAGAATAAAATAAATATGCAAAGATCTAATTCACTGATATGGATTTGAAAGACTAATAAATACTGTTATACCATGCAACTTTCAAAGAAAAAAAAACAATTTACAGATGTTTTGCAAGGATAAAAATTCAACACTGTAGATTCTCACATAGAACGGCACTTTGCTTGAGAAGGCAACTTGTCCATTGATCCATGCTGTGCCCTTGTCTTGTCCTAATTGCCATATTGTTGTACTACTGTTGGTATTATTTGCTGGTACCACTTTCACACTAAGGCTTCCAAGGTTACTACCATGCATGTTGAACCAGAAATTCACACATTTAGGCTGGGTAGGGGCAAACTTTAAACTTTTAAGATCAGCTTTACCTCCAGGCTTTCTTGGAGCTGATGCCTCAATAAATACGTATTGTCCTATATAAAAGTAACAATAAATTTATTCATATCAAACAGTACATAAACAAGTTCTCAAGAACAGTGAAATTTTAAAATAATAATGGTGAAAATGTTAGACCATTTATGGAGATTTGAGATACAATTGTATTTGAATGTGTCTTTTTTTGTGACATTTTTTTACTATCAAGTTGAAGTATCTTGTGAGATACTGTGACAAAAATAATTTGTACCTTAAAGTAAGTAATAATTTCATAACATGCATGTCATATGAATGAAGGCAAAAAACAGCACACATGTTGTTAAAAAAACGTTTACATGAAGTTTTCTTTTTTCTATATATTAAAAGCATCAATTAACACTATATTATGCTATACACATAAATAAAATCAATGACCCCCGGGGCAGGGCCAATTTTGACCCAAGGGCTTTTATTTGAAAAAAAAAACATTGTAGACACTTACTAGAAGATGTTTCATGCTTAGTATCAAAACTCTAGCTATTTGTTTTTTTTTTCAAAGAATTTTTAATTTAAAGTTTTTACTGTACACATATATGGAAAATCAATGACCCCCGGGGCAGGGCCAATTTTGACCCCAGGGCTTTTATTTGAACAAACTTGATAGACACCTATTAGAAGATGTTTCATGCTAAATATCTTAGCTATCTAACAGAGTTTTTCATCTAAGATAACCCATGTTCCTACTTATTCGAGCTAGACAAGCACCCTGACAAAGTTTGATGATGATTGAGCCAAAAATGTGACCGCTAGAGTGTTAATAAGATTTTTCTATTTTTAGCTCCAGTGACCTAGTTTTTCATCCGAAAACCCATGTTCAGTCTCATCGGAACTATCACCTAGGCAAGTATCCTGACCAAGTTTGATGATGATTGAGGCAAAAATGTGACCGCTACAGTGTTAACAAGGTTTTTCTATTTTAAGCTCCAGTGACCTCGTTTTTCATCTGAGATGACATATTTTCGAACTTATCTAAGCTATCACATAGACAAGCATCCTGACAAAGTTTGATGGAAATTCGAAGATCCTGAAAGCTCACCCTGAGCAAGCTCAGGTGAGCTAAAAAGAAGAACATACATGTATATCAGTAATTCTATTTAAACTCACTTTTATAAGATAAGTTCTAGTCCTGATCGACACATGATAACATGTGATAGATAATAGTGGTGTTTTTACCTGTGTCATGTGAAACTTAATCGTTTTGTCACATTTATATTGTGGAAACTGCAAATTTGCAAATGCATATTAAATGACTTCAAAAATTTTTTGGGGGTAAACACAAAATATAAGTTGAAAATTGAAAAAAAAATAACTAAGTCAAGAGCAATAACTCTACAAATACTGAATAATACCACTATTAAACCCCCAGGTGCAAAACTACACCTTTTGACGAACATTTCTGTAAAGTTACATGACTTAAGGTCAAATATTTCCTGGAGTAGTGACGCAAGACACAAGTAAACAAGCAATTATCATAGTATTGCAAGCAATCCATAAGTCCCCTACCGGTAAGAGCCCAAGCAACATTCTGAAGGGCCATTGGCCATTCACTTAGGTTCCTATGTTAAGTGTTGAAAAAGTTCTTTAAAAGTGATCACACGAAACAGTTTTTATGTACAGACAGACGGACTGAAGGACTCTCTAAAGTTATTTTTTAAACATCCCTGTTATCAAAATATAACATTTTTAAAATCCTATCATGATTGAAGAAGTTGGAGTAAAAATTACCAATTTCTCAAAAAAAAGTCTAAGTTCAAAAGGGGCATAATTCTGGAAATAGTCTTGCTAGAGTATTGAACACTCACAAATGTTGAGTGATAATAAGAAACATTTATATGAAGTTTGAAGTAGATACATTCAGAAAAAGAAGTTATTAAAAAAACAATGTTTTTTTTCATGAAAATTTTAAGTTCAAGGGAGGTAATTCTGATAAATTTTGTGCTAGAGTTGTAAACCTTGTCACATATGATGTGGTTGATGACAAGCAATTTATACTTAAAGTTTGAAGAAAATACCTTAAGAAATAAAGAACTTATAGTGAAAAAACTTAAAAACTAGAATCAGAAATCTTGAAATTCAGTCTATTTGTTGCCATAGCAACCAGAATTTTCAACATAGGCATGGTTCATACCAAATTCTCAAATCAAAATTCAAGGACTTTTCAAGGACTTTTCAAGGTAAAATTGTCATTTTCAAGGCATTTTTTTCCCGATTGATCTTATTTAAAATTATACTTTTACAACCATATCTGTGATATACATTTTTATTGCAATTGATCTTATTTAAAATTATACTTTTACAACCATATCTGTGATATAAAACATGTAAATAAAACATGCGTATTTCAATTTAAGGTTCAAATGACTAGAATTGCAAAACAGTGACTATATTTAGAAAATCAGCACAGTCAGTAGAATATATGAACACCAAAACTGTAACATATAGGTGATTGAGTAAATTCACACAACTCTATCTAGTTTTTCCTTTCTTTTTTGGATTTCTCTTCCAATTTCCTCAACTTCCAGTTTCTTTTCTTTGAAGCCCTTCCTTCTTAGAATGTTTGATTCAGTCACAAATGTTATTTTTCCAGTTTTCTCAGCCTTTTCCAACAGTTTTTTCAGATTTTTCTTCTAGAATGGTGATATCAATTTGAAGTCTTGCCTTCTTTTTCTTGAGATCTTTGAAATGAACGGAGATATTCCTGCTTGATTACTGGACACACAGGGGACATTTTCTTGATAACTAGAAGTGGGTGGGGGTGGTATTGTCATGTCATGCACAGTTTCCGTTGTGGATTGGGATGGCACAATGTTATTATTTGAATCAGATCTACTGCAATTTTCAGTTTTGACATTTATAGTTCCTTCCTGTCTGACAAATGCAAGGCCACACTTCGTCAATGACGACTTGATGTCTAGATTTTTGAGGTGCTTTGCACCCCTCGCATGCGATGTTAATGCACTCTCTCCCATTTGCGATGGTTTTCATACACATGGTACATTGTGCTTTTCGTGGGTCTTGTATAACTTGTTTTACCCAACTGTATTGTTGAAGCCATTTGAGCTGAAACGTACATTTCTTAGTGTATTTTCCCATTTTTTACTTCGCAATGGAAGCTGACATTTTGTACACAATTTGCGATGACGTCATACACAAGTGCTTGTTAAAATCCGTGCCAAAACCGTAACGCTGGCTAAACACTACTAAAACAGATCCAAATGGGCGCACTCGATCGGGCTGCCTTCGTTCACATGTCCGATTTGTAGCGGAAAATTTGCCTGACTTTTACAGCGACAGGTTTTAAACCCTTTTGGATTTTCAAGGCATTTTACCGAAATTCAAGGGGGTTTACTGAAATTCAAGGACAATTTTAGTGTTTTTTCAAGGCAACCCTGAATTCAAGGACTTTTCAAGGTTGAAACCAAATTCAAGGACTTTTCAAGGCCCGTGCGAACCATGATAGGAAGATAAGAAAAGAATGTGCATAATTTCTATACTGCCATCTACCCATATGTCAAGTTTCATAAACATATTTTCAGTACTTTTTGTGTTATCACTGGATCCAGGTTATGTGTAAAATCTGCCATATTTTCAGTCTATTTGTTGCCATAGCAACCAGAATTTTCAACATAGGAAGGAAAGAAAAAGACGTGCATAATCTCCATACTGCCATCTATCCATATATCAAGTTTCATAAAAATATTTTCAGTACTTTTTGCGTTATCGCGGGATCCAGGTTATGTGTAAAATTTGCCATATTTTCAGTCTATTTGTTGCCATAGCAACCAGAATTTTTAACATAGGAAAAAAAGAAAAAGACGTGCATAATCTCCATACTGCCATCTAACCATATATCAAGTTTCATTAAAATATTTTCAGTACTTTTTGCGTTATCACGGGATCCAGTTTTGTGGACGGACGGACTGACGGACGGACAGACGGATGGACTGACGGACGGACAGACAGACGGACGGAGGGTAAACCTAAAGTCCCCTCCGGTAAACCGGTAGGGGACTAAAAATATTGCAAAAAAGAGCGATTAATTACTTAGTAAAGGGCGATAACTCTGTAAATATTGAATAATTCCACAATCAAACCCCTAGGTGCACAACTACACCTGCTGACAAACATTTCTATAAATCTTCATGACTTTTGGTCAAATATATTTTTAGTGAAGGCATGAAAATAGAATCATTTTAAGTGTATTCCAGGTTTTAAAAAAACTATTCCATCTTCAGATTGATTTAAGGATGACTACATGCACATTGATTTGTAGTATAAATCGCCATGACTTTTTGGAGATCGCTGTGTCTGACTGCTTAATCCCCCCCTTCGTGATAGTTCTGGCTTTGGGGCTTTTTTTAACATTTAGACCTTACACAACCACAGTGATAAACAGTGTCTATTCTAGGATGCTCGATTACGCGATTCACGCTAGTATTTCACAGATCGCGCACAATTCAAAATCATGTGCGTGAAAATCTCGCATCTATAAAAAATGTTTATAAAATCCTTAAACTTCCATTCTGCATTATATTTGGTTGTTTTGTTTACATTTACACCGGAAACTGAAGGGAAGTAACTGTAAGCTAATTATAAAAATTTAGTACCGTATGGTACTGGTTACTTGAGTTGACGGAAATTAACAGAATGTTCCTTACCGGCCATAACTAGTGTGCTAGGTCTGACAGTTGGGCGCCATTTTAGTGTAGAAAATAATCAAGAAAAATGAGACAATTCCTAGCTTGGCTTCGATCTAAACGTGAAAGATAGGTCTATTTTTTGTATTGTCAATCCCTCAATCGCGACAGTTCTATAATGATTTGTTTTCGTAAAAAAATTAAGGGGGCACAACTTCTGCTGCCTTAGTTTTAATTATTTTATTGATTGAACACCTCAGTTTAAACTTATTGCAGACTATTTAACATTGGCAGTTTACATTGGCACCCCTTGATTTTGAAAATCGCCCCCTTTTTTGAAATAGAGGGGGGAAAATCACCCC